TTTGTTTACAGTCTCAACATCTTGAACACAAAAAATACTTACGTGTGGATGAAACAAGAATCCCGCTGTCGGCCTCAAGTACTTTTCCTTTAAAGCTTCAAGTGGATCGGTTAATTTTCGTTTCTCTACTCTGTGAATGTTAAAATGAGAATTTTCTTGTGATGACTCGGTCTCGCTCATGGGTACCTATCTAGTGACTTGGATTCTAATCTAAGCAAACAACAGATAGAGTTTCTAAGTCACTGAAAGCAATGCAATGCAATTCTCAGTTGTAGGCATACTGTACTGTTCGTGCTAATGTAGCTGTGAACATCCTTTAAAAGATTATACCATTTATATTACAAACTTGGATCCTGCTGATAATTTCTCAAGATACTTCCATTAATGGCATGGAACTTCCCTGACTCTTTCTTCTTTCTGTAACCCACTGAGCTTCCCAAAATACTGTTCTTAGAGGATAGAGAACCTATCCAGAAATAGCATGAAGAAGAAATGGGATGTCTGCTGTGGGGGCGGGGAACTGGTGAAAGCCATCCCTTCTTCCATTAACTGAAAATATCATCTGGATCAGGGCTTTTTTTGTAGAAAAAGCCCAGCAGGAACTCATAAGCATAATAGGCCACACCCAACAGCAGAAACTCATTAGCATATTATACCACACCCCCATGCCTTTCTTTGGCTTGCCCGGGTACCCCACGGCTGTGAGGAGCTCAGGCAAGCCGGCCCTTGGAGGGGAGGGGAGGCAGTTAAAACCGTTCCTGTGCGTTCCTGTCCAAAAATAGCCCTGATCTGGATCCAATCCATTCCCATTTTAAGTATCGATTATTACATATGAGAGAAACCGGTGAGTAACTATACCCATCACAATTGTCAGAAACATAGCTATATTATCAAAAACAGAGTGCTGAGCTATACATTTGACTATGTAAGAAAACCAGTCCATGAAATCAAAGGAAGGATTTGGCGGAAATGGTCTCCATGGAACCTTTTTAATTAGCATTCTCCATTATTCACTTTCAAAGTAAAATAAGTTTTCTACGTGAACCCTTATTATTCTAAGTGATTTATTTATTTATTTTGTACCGGTTTTCATTATTTCAAATCCAAAGAAAATTTACTTCTGGATTCAAGTTATTTCCCCCCCCCCCCCCCAAATCTTAGGACAGTTGGCGATAAGACTCTTTGGATTTACATCATATCCATATCTGGCTGTTTAGATAAAAGACCTTTTTTGGGCTACACTGATTATTAAGCAGCAAATTCCGTAATAGTGAAAGGTTTATATACCAGATTACCCAATGAAACTATGTAGTGAAAGAAAAATGCATTTTCACTTGAATTTTATTTGTAATTCAGATCTGAATCCCTGAATGGATTCTGATCCACTGATCTGAAATTACAGATTCACATCTTTCAAAAGCTTTGCCAGCTTCAGATAGCTGAGACATCTCTTTATAAATTAAAATTGGGGATGCTTTTCACTATTATCCTCAAAAAGCCTAACATCCTCAAAAAGCGTGAGTTACTGTTTTGGAGGAAATAGTAACGATAATTGCAAAAATGCAACAGGCAGTAATTTTGCTGTGTATCTGTATCGGGAACCACTGACTTCTCCGATCCCACTCAGTGCAGAAGCCCACCAGAATTGCCCATGTTCAGCAGAGGTTCATTGAGAGTAGGTTAAGCCACAGCAATTAATCATGAAGAGATGCACTCAGCAACCTCTTTTGTGGAACAGCTGCAGATGTAGGGTTGCCAGGCACTGCTTGACAACCAGCAGAAGGGGTGTGGTCAAAGCCATGGGGGGGGGGGGCTGCAGCATTGCATGTGGTGCTACGTTACTTCCGGTTTAAAAAAAAAGCGACACAGGATAACTCTAGGAATTGCCAAATACTCTGTGGTAAGACCATAGAGTTTCTGGTGATTCATGGAGCTACCCATTGTCACTTCTGGGAAGAACACAACATTGCAAGATTTTTTTAAAAAATCCCCTACCACCACTCTGAGCAATGACAGGCAACAGGACAGTGGCTTGGCAGCCCTATGCGTTCGGTTCATGGGAGCCTTTAATTACTTAATTTTTTTCTTGTGGCATTCTAGCAGTTTTTCCTCTCATGGCACACTTGCATGAGTTGGCATGTACTTTGGGAACTGCTAGCTTACAATGCACCTGTGTTGTAGTTTCATTTCACTTTGTTTTTATTTGTCTTTCCCTTGTTCCACTAGTCCTGTGATATGTTTTGTGCATTTGCAACATATACACATATGTAAATAAGTCAGGCAGTGACTGACATATGCAGAATGTTAGGGCACCACCTCATGAGTAAATACAAATGCGGAAGTGCACCATTCCTACTCGATACAATAGGTTGGCATATTCTTCATGGCTATATCCCCTTCTGGGCATATATCCCTAATATCCCAAATCAGAGGCAGAAACTCTAAAATTGTCCTGCTGTGTCAATTAGACTGTAACTAGCTCTTTCTTTCGTGCCATCAGATGTATCCAGAGAGAATAGGTGATGCAGATAGATCCTAAAGGACAGTTTGGTAGAGAAAATATTCCAAATGAAGGTACCAATCAAGGTCTGCTAATTAAGCAGTTTCCACAGCAAATAATTTTTTAAAAATATAGGGGAACATACAGGAAACACACTGTAAAAAGTATTCCATATTTCTCTTTGGACTTATTAATCCATTACATTTGTTGCATTCAGACAACCAAACAAATCTCGGAAGTCCGCAAACTCCCTTCCTCGCACACTCTGCACCAAGACTGAAGGCATCCTAACTAGAATTAATCACAACTTATTGTGCCATCCGAATGGCTCACTTCGACAAACTGTGGTTTATTCTAAGACTGATTTCCTTAAGGTTCAGAATCCTGGTTTGTATGAAATAAATACTCCATATTTTGACAAAGTATTCAGTGAGGACTTCACAGCTGTTATTTCTAAACCAGGAAGCCTTCAACTGAGGACTTCCTGGTTCTTTCTTGTTATGAAGAACCTACAGCTTGTTCATGACTTCTGAATCTGGCTAGTATCTGTTGGATCGGTTGAAGTGTTGCACTAACAAATGTGGTGTAGTGCTTAGACTCAGACTAGGGAAATTCAGATTCTAATCCCCACTCTTTGATCTTTGGCCAGACATTACCCTGCGCACAAATATATAGTTAAGAAAACTTAAGGGCCCTTTTCGTAAGAAGGGAAAAGCAATATCTGCTGATTTCCCCCCTAACACTGTATCCCACTGAAGCCCCCTGAAATTTTGTTCTTGTTGGGGGAGGGGTCGGATAACCATCAGGAACAAAATAGTTTGGGGGCGATCTACAGTGGTATTGGAGAGTCAGCAAAAACTGCTGCCTCTCCTCTTAAGAAAATTCAAGAGCTTTTAAATCTTTCAAATGTGGTTGGACACAGGCTATTATCTCTCAGCCTAGCCTACTTCACAGAGTAGTTGTAAAGATAAAACTGGGAGGAGTAAGCATGTATGGCCCTCTGAACTTCTTGGAGGAAGGGTGATGTACAAATCTAATCAATAAAATAGGTTTTTCCATGCAAGTACCTCTGACACCAGATTAATACTCTGCACAGCAGAATGGTACGAGCCATTCCAGTTACCAAAAACAATTCAGCAAATTAGTCTATTGTAAATAAAGGCAGAATTTTACCCTTGAGTTCCACATTGTGTTGCTATGGTACAACGTGTTTTGAGTTCTTGGGTGAAACACCTTTGATTGCAGTGGAGATCGACGTTCCTAGTTTGCAAACAAAAGCCGAATTTGACTGCCAATTTTTAAATACATTCTCTCTTTTTTTTCCTCTGAAGGGAAAACTGCTTCAAAGATATATAGTTAATTTGTATTAGAATAAATGTTGTATAAATTTCCAGTACCTGAGCTGCATTAATTCAAATTTCAAGTATTGTGCAATTTTATTACAATAAATGACCGAAAATCATAGGCCACCTTTTATGGTCCAGTTGGGTTGGCTGTACATCTGAAAGGACTAATTTGACTTTCACAGTTCTTTATTCCTGTATTACCTGTAAATGGGATCCATAAAGAAAGGAGTAGGCCTTGCATGCTGTAAAGATATGTCCGACGACTTCCTCGATTCAAGGTCATCTCCCTTCTTTCCTCCAAAGATGTGGTTTTTCCGAGGCTCAGTCTGTTTTGTACCACTGGCTCGGCTCCTGCTGCCCATACTCAAATCTAGAGGCTGGTCCTGGCTGGTAACTGGTAGAGTTGCTGGTTTCGAGGTCACAGGAGTAAGTGGTTTCTCCTCCTTACGTTTAGTGGTGAGGTCAAAGGGAGACTCGGCGTTTCCCTTTGTGATCTTCTTGACTTCTCCTGGCGATTGGGGTTCCATTTTCAAAGGTAACGTTCTCAAGTCTCTATCAGGAAATGGGTACATTGACTGAGAGAATGCTGGAAAAAATGGGAGGGGAAACATGGAAGGGTAAGGTAAGGCTCCAACTTTTTTGTCTTGTAGACCCACAAGTCCTGTAGAACCAAAGTACTTTTCAGCAATAGAGGCTATGGCCTTTATAGAATCATTCACAGCCCCTGACACCGCAGTTTGCTCCTCTAAAGATGGCGAGAAGATGGAATGATTGCTGTATTCTTTCTTATTATTTACGGAAGCCAAATTCTGAAGACTGCTTACTTTGCCTTTGAACATTTTACCATTTTCTTTACATTTCTCTTTATCACTTTCAATGTCACTTTCCAGATCAGAGCCAGAGGTGGTCTCCAGGTCACTCCCACTGGGGGTACTGACATCATCAAGGTCACTACTCTCTGATTGGTCACTGATTTTTTCATGCGGCCTCTCTTCGGAGGACCTCTCTGGTTGAAGCTCCACTGGCTTATTTTCACCTAGGTTAGGTGGGTGCTTATTTAGTGCCTTCAAAATATCCTGGGTAGCTGGCAGTGACTGAGGATGTGTCATGAGGGGACTTTGACTTTTGATTGTTTGGTCAGTGCTTGGAAGTCCTTTAACAGGAGAACTAGCAGGTATCAAAGGTGGCCTGTGGTACAAGCCTGCAGGAAACAGGCCAGGGAAGCTAAAAGAAAATCCAGGAGCTGTTGGAAAGGTAAGACCAGCAGGATGCCTATTGGTACCAAAATAGTCAGCAAGGCCCGGATTTGCATGATTCATATTAACCATGGAAGATTTATCCATAGCTGGGGTTCCAGGAAGTGATATGCCTTGGCCAAAAAATCCTCCTGCCGCAAAATGGTTCTTGCCCTCACAAAATCTCCTGTGTTTATTTAAGGAAGACGTAGTGCTGAACATTTGTCCACAGTCTTTGCACTTGATTTGGGTTCTGCAATCAGCATGCATACGCTTATGACGGCAAAGGTTTGAAAACTGAGTATAGGATTTATGGCAGACCTCACCTGTGTGTAAACGACAACAACAACAACAACAAATCTCAGGATTTATGCTTTTTTTGTTCTCTTCCCCCTTCCCCCGCCACCTTTGATCCCACCCTTCTGCTTCAAACAGAGTTATCTGAAACACTTTACATGAAAATAGCTCCCTCCTAAACAGGTTTAAGCAAAAATAAGCGCCACTGGGATATAATTACTAGAACCACTGGTTAAAAGACTGAAGCCTGTTGAAAAGGCCAAATATGATTAATCTGAGTGCAGAGAGCCTGTAAAAAGCCACTCCCAGAATCCAGTTCAGCAGTGAGACAACAGAATGAGAAAATCCCCACATTTGTTACCTATAAAAGTCAACAATGCCACAGAAATGTTTTAATGTTCTCAATATTTTACAGCCTCCTGTGCTTATATGCACTGGCCAGCAAAACCCACAATACATGTGTGTATTCACATGAGATGCTAGTTATGATGTCCTTTTTTTTATTCAAGAGCCCCCAGTCTGCTCATCACGACTCTCTCTTTTTAAGCAGTACGGGGCTCATAATGGAGATGATCACTGCTGTTGACTTGGAAAGGACACAAAAAGCTCAGGTTCCCATGTGAATCTTTCACACATCTTCAGGATTCTTACATCATTTACCTTATGCCACAGTGGTGTGCAGAAACCCTGATTAAAACAAGCTGTAATTACAGAAAAAAAACCCAGAAAAAATGCAAGAAACACTTCTATGTTCATTGGTAACATGACCACATGGTTTACTTCATTCATTGCTCTTGTCTATGAATGTCTGGATAGAAAACATCTCGGCTGGGGGATCCCTGTACTGTTATCAAAGTATAACCATGATACAGTACTGAACCACTCTGAGAAATAAGGCAGGGCTGTTCTCTACCCTGACAAGTGTCATATAATGCACTCAAAACACCAGTGAGTGTCAACCTTTGGCAGGTTCCCGCTTAGCTTTGATAACGTGAGAGTTTCCTCAAAATCAGTGTTAAGCAATATTGCCCAATTACATTAAAAAGCCAGCTTCCTTCGGTTTCAGTGGCTTGACTTTTGCTTGGTTTGCGTTATATCATAGGTTCTTGCCCTTCACACATCAAAGCTGCACAACAATGCACATTGTGAATTCTGAGACCTTCTTAACAATTATTTTCATGGTTTCAGACAGACTGACATAATTTACAATGGATCTATTTTAAGCCCGCAAAGGAAACTGAATTGAATGTATCCCATCCTGCACTCTTGGTTCCCATGAACTATAATCACGTCCTCTGACTTCCACTCGCACTGCTGCCGATGCTAACCTTCCTGCTCTTATAAAGCTTACCCTTGAGAAACCTGCCTGCTTGTTGTCATGTCTTCAATGTTTGCTCCTTTAGCTGTCTGTTCCCATCACAACAACAAAGACATCCATTGTTTGAGAAGGCCCTGATTCTACCTGGCACGGTTCATGTGGGCTGCTTCCCTGGTATCTCTCAGACAACAGAAGAGCGGCATTTGCAGTACTGGATAAAAGCCAAAAAGCTGTACGATGCAGGAAGAACGCTATCACCCTATATTAGCTGATGTTCCCGTATGATATCTTTCATTCACAAGGAATGTTCTGGCTAAAGAAATTCTTATTAAAAAACCTTGCCCACATGAGAATACAACCGGGCTTGGATTCGTCTTCTAAGCATGTCGAGTTTTCCTTTTATTTGGGGCCATGTTCAAGTCAGAAGAAACATCTCTGGAATCTTGTCGAAATTAAATTGTTGGATCAGTAAATTAAATTTGGAACATTTCTTTCTTTCCATGCCTAATGCGCTGCATACTTTATGCAAATGGCCTCCTTCTATCAACAGTGTTCTGAACTTTCAGAAGCACACACGTGATTGATTTTTATGGCATCAATTCAGGCACCCAAAGCAAAGTTCTTGACTGGTTTGCAGAATGATCTGCAGGCACATGCTGCAGTTACATTGCTGAAACTAAAACAGGATTAGGCTGGGCTGGGCTGCATTGCCTACAAAATTTAAAGAGAAATGCCAGTGTTGTTGTGCAAGTAGGTGGGACCCATGTGGCTTGGGATGGGTGGGAGATATTACAAAAATCTGGCTGTTCTAATGAAGAGGATCCAAGGCTGGGAAGATCTTTCTCTGCCTAAGACTTTGGAATCACTCTGCCAATCTGAGTAGGCAATACTGGGCTAAATGGGCTGCTGTTCTGATTGGCTGTAAGACAGTGTCCTATATTCATAACCCCACCCCAGCCCTATCAGTTCCTTTGATTCTGTACTATTGCAAATGCCATGTAAGCTTTTGCTTTAAGCCGAGCATATGGAGGGGCTGACCTATTAAAGCAACAGGTATTTAATGTGCCATCCCCCCACCCCCGGTCTATATTCTAAATTCTTACCTCTGTTTCAAGTTTCCAAACCAGAGCTCTTGTTTCCTGACCTCTAACTTTGGTTAACTATTTTGACCCAGAGTGCCTTCACATTGGTCCCTGGCCTGTTTCATCGCCAACCTGCCCAGAATGTTTTAAACCTTCAGATGTTCAGTAAGAAGAAATTAGCTCAGAGCGAAAAAGTTTGCATATTTTCTGCTTATTAAACAAATCACTGTTAAGTGGTATTTTTTAATACATTCCCCCGTCTCTTCTGTTCCAGCATGTGGTTTCTATTTGGGCAAGCTGGAGGTTTTATGAAGGCAGGCAGTGTGTAATTACCTTTGTGTTGGTGAGATGGTGTTGGTGAGTTTTCTCCCAAGCTAGGGCAGCATACTGTAACGAGAGACAGTTGCCATAAACAGACCGGGAAGGTACAGCGTGGTGTGTGGCCTTTTTGCTGGGAACCAGATATCTCTGCTCGAGGTGACCCTCTACCCCCAGCCACAATCGCTCCCAAAATCCTACCCTGACATGTGATCCTTAAATTCTTTTGTTCTGTAATTACATGGCAATTATTGGTAATTGTCCTAAGATTTTTTTCCTCCCCTGTCCATCACCCCCTGAGTTTCAAAAATCACAGTTGCACTTTGGGTTTTGTCTCCACACATTAATTTTAAAAAAAAATTAAAAAGAGAAGCATTTTTCCACGTGATTTAATTTTTAAAAGAGCGAAAGAGCATCTGAATTTTCTTTTTAAAAGATGAAACTGGAGCTGCGGCATATGAATGGTCCCTATATGGCTGGGAAGCGATTGTTCACTAATTATTTTATTTTCACAAATATTTAAAAAGACTGCCCTGTGCTTCTGTGCAGAGAAACACAAATCATTAAAAGGATGCTTGTAACTGGGTCCAGTTAATTATGTTCTTCACTAGCTTTAAATAAGCCTAAGCACAAATAAATTAAAAAAGCAACCATTCCAAGGGCAGGCCCATGGGCCTCAGAGGGATTCTTTTAAGCCATTAAAAATCATGTTGATATATTATTGAGACTGGAGGCTTACACAGATTCATTCGACTGCTCCCTTGATGAATGTATAGTGTATCGTCCTGTATACTGAAGAAGTTAATTCGAAAGCTACAGGAAGCTGATCATCAGTTCTCAAGAGCCTGAACCACAAGTCCCCATGGACTGATATGAAACTGCAGGCCGGCCCCTCTCTCCATTAAATGGGCTTCCTGTTTGACCCCACACCTCCACGCTGTGTGTCTGGGTTCCACAGCCTAGTTGTGCAACATAGCTGGCTTAAAATCCTTTTAGCCAAGATTGCTTTGGAAGCTGTTTCTGTATTCAGTATAAAGACCTGCATAATAAGGAAAACCACAACATGCTGTTTAGCTTGGTATCGGAACAGGAGGGGCAAGACATGGAATTGGGGAGGATTAAAAGTGACCTGAACTCCTTTGGAGTGACATAAATGCTTTACAGAAGCAGCAGGGAGGGGACTTTTCACAACAGAGAGAAGATTTCCCTCTCAGATGCTACAAAAAACAGATATGTGGGCCAACTACATACCCTTTTTCATGATGTTTTGTGCGACGTCTGATGCTACCTTCCACTTGCATTCCAAATATTCGTTTTTATTAATATCTTGACTTGCATTCCAAATATTCATTTTTACAAAAAAAATATTATCTGGACAGAGACTAACCAGATTAATCAATACGTTGGTTTATATTAATTAAAGGTTAAAGCTTTGGGTATTTAATGATTAATAATAATGACTATGACTAAGGGATGGGGGGAAAACAAGAGAGGGGATCTGCAGATATTTATTTCATTTTTAGAGTGCTGCCGATCAGCAGAGCTGGACTTTTTAGATGCTTCTGGTCGACTAGAAACCTGTAGTCAAAGAGCTGTCTGAATGGAGTAGAGGAAATTTAGTTCAGTAGAGGAAATTTAGTTCAGTCTCCACTCCCACTAATTCCCTTTTGGGCCCTCATTATTCTGCCAACCCATCTTTTAGCCATCTTACCTCTTAGCTCTCAGTCCTTTAACCTCCCTATGTCCCACAATTTGATCTGATGTATTTAATTTGTATCCCGCCCTCTCGGCCAAGGCCGGCTCAGGGCGGCTTGCAGAACAGGGTAAAAATTCCACAATACATATAAAAACACAGCAACAGTTAATACAAATACAGTGTTAAAACCAAAACATAATAATAAAGTGCTAGCATAGTTCTTCACTTTTAACATCAGCTCCATTGGTCTGCTTCAGTTATTTTTGGGGGTTTGGCTCGGGCAATGATTAAAGGGACCAGCGGATCAGGGCTCTTCCACCATAGGGTGTCAATTGTTGTTGGTGATGGTAGTGGTGATCGTGGTGGTAGTGGTAGTGGTGGCGGCCCCAAAGGCCTGGTGGAAGAGCTTTCTTTCTCATCCCTGACTTGCCCTTGTGTGACATTCTACTCCTAAACTGACAATGTTCATCTGCCTCACCGAAGCTGGACTGCAAACTGTTTAATTCCTGAAATGACTGAACATTCCATGCCATGTCACTCTGCCAATCAGTGTTTACAGCTATCTTTACATCAAGTTAATTGGAGTGTAAAGTATTTCTCTCAATGTAAGACATAAAATATATTTACAGCATTGAAAGAAACATATAAACAAACAAACAATAAGCACATGTCCTTTAGATTAGGGGTCTCCGACATTTTTGAGCCTGTGAGCACTTTGGGAATTCTGACACAGGGTGGTGGGCACAACTGCAAAATGGCTGCTATGGGAGGTGGAGCAAACCATAAAACACAGAGAGAGAGAGAGAGAGAGAGAGAGAGACAGAGAGAGAGAGAGAGAGAGAGAGAGAGACAGAGACAGAGACAGAGACAGAGAGACAGAGGATGTTCGTATGCAGGGGACAAGAGTACAAATAAAATAAACACTATAGTGTCAGCTTGTGTTGAAACAATGTTATTGTAATCTGCACAGCCAATCAGATCCCCAATACTAGTTAGAAGCCCTGCTGGGCAGTAGCCCCACCTGACCACGTCCACTTTCTAAAAACACTTGGTGGGGGCCAGAAAGGGTGTCTGTTGGTGCCATGGCACCCGCAGATTCCACATTGGGAACCCCGGCTTCAGATGCTGCAAAGAATTTCCTAAAATAATATACATCTTAAAAATCAAACTAAGGATCAGCTGAGAGAATAAGAATTGAAAATCAGGAATTCCTTCATGAGAATTATGGGCCACCCCACTCACATGGAAAAGTTTAGAATGACCAGAAGGAACAGATGACCTTAAGACAAGGGTAAAATTTAGAATTTGTCACATCATAATGGTGCAGGGGTAAGGAAACATTGCATTTTCCCACATTGTGTGAACTTCCGACAGCTAAAATCCCCCCACACACACACACACCAGATGTGGGCTCCTTCTTTTGACTTCTTCCTTCAGTTATTTAAAAGTTCAACAACAGAGTGCATTCTGTTGTTGGTATGATACATTCCCACAGTGGGAATCTCTCAATGGGAAGCATAGGTGCTCCTGTTAAGCGATGAGGCAACAGCTGCCGTTTTGTGACCAGCAAAGAAATGTAATGAAGAGGGACAAAATAAACACAATAATCACAAAAGGAAGCTCATTTGTATCACAAGGTGGAGATTTGACTAGTCCTCTCAGTCTCCTCTGTAACTTATTTTACCTAATACTTTAACTAGCCTGAGGACAAGATTCGGATCAAGAGGACAGCAGAGCCTCAGCAGCTCCCCTCAACTTTTCATAAGTATGTTTCCATTGAGTAAAGTATTGCGTTGTTTTTACTTCCACACAGAGGTTGCTCTAAGGCTGCTACTGTTAGCTCCTCGGTTTAAGATGTTGATGGATGTTTTATACCGTAGTTGTCATGTTATATACACACAATTAAAATGCTGTATGTAGTATTTTAAATATAACAGTATGGAATTTTCAGCTGAAGTGGAGATAAACTTTGACAGGAAGTGTAGGATATAAATGCTGTATATAATTCATTTCTAGACATCTAATTAGGATGGAAGATGATACATGATAAGGACTTTTATGACCTTAATTCTGAAGGAGGACAGCTAATGAAACACTCTATTATGATTAGGTCAAGAAGGAGTTTAGGTTGTGTTCATGTATAAAGAGACCCTCTTTCCTTTGGAAGATTTCTGAGCCCTGTTTTGAAATTAGCAATGACCTGGAAAGAGTCCAGGTTTTTCAGTGGTTTGCTAAAGGGAAGCTCATTTTTGGTGGAATCTTCTTACATTTTATTAGTCACATCCACCAGTAGCTCTTCTTTTCTTCCTGGGGCTACATTAAGAGAAAATAAATAAACTTACAAAAGGTTCAAAGCATAATTAGACTTGGGCTGGGGGAAACTTGCCAGAGCACACAATATAAAATGAGGTTATGAAAGTATTTCCAGAACTGCCCATGGAGCCTCAGATACCCAGAGGCTTCTGACATGAAACATGCAGGGAGAAATACCAGAGAGCTCTCCTCTAAAAGCTGGTCTGCACTGGAACCAAAAACAACATTCCTGTGGTGAAGTCTCAACTCTGTGCCACAATGTTTAAAGTTCTTACTGAGCAGAAGGCAGTTGACGCGTGATGAAAACCACCATGGTGTAGAAGAAGAAGAGATTGGATTTATACCCCACCCTTCACTACCAAAGGAGTCTCAGAGCGGCTTACAATCCCTCTCCTTTCCCCTCTGCACAACAGACACCCTGTGAGGTAGGTGGGGCTGAGAGGGCTATTTCGAGAACTGCCCTTGAGAGAACAGCTCTGAGAGAACTGTGACGGACCAAAAGTCACACCAGCAACTGCATGTGGAGGAGTGGGGAATCAAACCAGATTCTCCCACATCAGAGTCCATGCTGTTAACCACTACACCAAACTGGCTAGGGAGCAGGGCAAGGAGCTGGGACACCCTAGTTTTCATCTCCATACTTCTGTGAAGCTCACTAAGTGACCTAGGGCCAGGCACACTTTCTCGGTCTAAGTATCTCACAGGGTTATTGTGAGGGTAAAATGGGCAAGAGAGAACCACGTATGCTACCCTGTGCTCTGTGGTCACAGCTCTTTGGGCAGATACAGTGAGGCAAAAAACTGAAATGTGTGACAAGAGGGTTGGTCTTATGTACTTATGTATTGATATACTTATGCACACACTTATGCACGCGCATGCAGTGGCTCAGATCACATTGAGAGCCAGCGTGATGTAATGGTTAAAATGTTGGACCAGGATATGGGAAGTCCAGGTTTGAATCCCCACTTGGGCCACAGAGGCTTGCTGGATGCAGGGGCCAGTCACACACTCTTAGCCTAACCTACCTCACAGGGTTGTTGTGAGGATAAAATGGAGGAGAGGGAAATAATGCAAGCCGCTTTGGGTCCCCATTGGGGAGAAAGGCAGCTCACACACTGTCTCCTCCCTTGTGTGCTCCGATTCCCTGATGATGAAGAAGAAGGAGATTGGATTTATACCCCGCCCTTCACTTGGAGCCTCATAGTGTCTTACAAACTCCTTTCCCTTCCCCTCCCCACAACAGACACCCTGTGAGGTAGGTGGGGCTGAGAGAGCTCTTTCAAGAACCGCT